TGGCTGGTAGACAAGGTTGAGCATCTGCCGGGAGGGAGCGGTGTAAAAACAAGCCCGATTGTTTCGTCTTGTTTTGTTTCCTTAAAACCTATGTAGCCGTTGAAGGACCAGCACTTGAGATAGTCGTCCCGTGTCTTTCAAGGGGCGTGCTCTTAAGATGAAGCTGTTCCCTCGTTAGCGACAACTTTTAACTGTCACTTGTCCGCAGCTCGGACTGGGAAACCCTGCTTGGGATTGCTGTGTTGTCTGTGTGTTACCAAGAGACAGCTTACACGTGGTTGTGAAAGTACCCTTTTTTTTTTTTTCTTTATAATTTAGCAGGGAAGATAAAGAATTTGTAAGAAAAAACCTTCAGGGAGCTTGTAGCTTGGATGCAACCTTAAATCTGATTTTTTTAGTCCTTTTAAATTTTGCTGCTTCTTAGAGATTCTTAGAGATTCTTTGCTGATTCTTAGAGAGTTTGCGTTTAATTTTAGAAGTACTGAGAAAAAGACCAAAAGAACTGAGGGGTTCCTAGTCCGTTGCCTGCATTCTGAGTAGATCATTGTGGCAAGGCACAGTCACATGTCTTTAATACTACCGCTGTGTTTTAGTTCTAAAACACTTCACACTCCAGGACCTTAGGATGAGTCCAGCCTTCCTGCTCATTCCTCCAGTGTCTTACTGCTGTAAATGTCCCTGATCTTAGTCTTTCCTTTCTCATTCATACAGCCTCCCTTGTGCAAGTGTCTGTTCCTTTGCCCCCATGTCACATCGTTTAAGAGGCTGACAGAAACATTGGTCTTGGTTTCAGTATCCAGGATGTCTTATTTCAGTGATCTTGTTCTAGAAAAACATTAGCTCACTTTATTAAACTGTTCTAAAAGCACTGTATTTTAAGCTGCAATTCAGAAGTTCCCACTAGGAAAACTTCCCGAATTTTGTACTTCTTTACAGAGAGTTGCAGAATTAAAAGGCACAAAGCAGACAGCAACTGGTTCAGCTGCTAGCACATCATCCCATCCTGTCAAAAGAAAAACTGTTGACACAGAAAATACAGAGTTAAAGAGAGTAAAAGGTAAGGAGAGAAAAATACTTATCAAGCACTTGCCAGAATCTAGACGTTTATGTCTTGAATATTTTTGGTTTGGATTTTTCCCATGGAAGTGAGTTAATGGCATCCTATTGCCGCTGAAAAGCGAAAAAGTCTGTCTTGCTCTTTTTCTGTGCGTTCACTGATCAGGAGAAAACTGCACTTTTGGTAGTTTACCTAGTTTTCTTCTGGGTTATTGGGTTAAATTAGGTCATGGAGCTGGGGGGTTGGTCCAAAGAGAACCAGAAAGGGTGTAAGTTAAACAGTAGAAGCTCTTGCTCAGAAGAGGTGCTATTCCTTTTCGGTGGGATCAAGCCACTGCATACCATGCATGAAAATTTGTGCTAAAGGAAAGATAATTATTTTTTTTCCCTTGGTGCTACTAAACGTGTAGATATATGAAATATGTGAAAGTGTGCATTTGTGAACTTGCTGCTGTAGTAGTAGTCTGTTTGAGGGATATTTCTTTTAAAAGCATGGATTGTAAGAAGTGACTCTTGCCTGTTATACAGGTACAGACGAAAAGCCACATACATCTACATCTGGGTAAGTAGGTCTTATTACATAGGAGTTTTTGTAACTGTACCAACTGCTGCATTCTCACCCTGTTCTTCCTTGTCTCTCCTTCCTAGCCAAGGGTAAAAGTTCAGAGAATCAGCAGATCCCTGCTTCTGCTCGTTTTCTGATGTGGGTGTATATTCCTGAACACGGCAGCACCTTCCTCAGTGCAGATGAGAAAATCATGGTACTAACCACCTCTGACAAAACAGGAATTACTTTACTATCAGACTTTTAAGGATTAATACGTGGCAGTGTTATGAAGTTTTCTAGAATGATGATAAGTAGATCGTGGCATGCAGTCTAATCTTTAATGCTAGCATACTGCAGAAGAGATGGTAGCCTGAAACGAAGGCAATTTTAAATGTATATTTAAATGATAATTATTCACAAAAACTACTAACAAATGTCATCAACAGATCTTTATTAAGATGTTTTTGTGGCTTAAAATGCATGTAAGTGCACATCATGCAGTTGAACTCTCACAAATATAGGAATGTATTTGACTTCAAGGGATTGGGTTAAGTATCTTACTGCCACTGAAGATTTCTGACTGTGTTTGGACATCTTTATGGGGTTGGTAGATGTCACATGAGGCAAGCAGGTCTCCTGTACACTTCTTCACAGGATGAATTATTACTATCTTGCATAGATATTACATGCTGTTATCTGGACTGTAGGAGACACATTGTAGAAATTTTGAGTGTGTGTGGCAAAATTGACAGTTGAGAGGTTTGTTCATTGTTAAACTGATCAATAGGATTATTTGAAAATAAAACCTTGAAAATGTTTGGCTTGGAGGACGGCAGCTGTTCTAAGCAAATCTAGGTTTTCTCATTGCTGAGCCTGTGTGGCTCTTCTAAGCTGCAGTTCTGAGCGGCAGTAGGTGCCCAAAATAAGTAGTTGTTACACATGAAGGTTATCAAGGTTTCCGTGACATTAGTATGGCCACTGATCTATGAATTTTGTATTCAGCGTGTTCACAGCACATGTACTGGTGCAAATAACTTTGAATGCGGAAGTTGCCATTCCTCCAAATGCACTTTGTTATGGGATGCTTTTATTAATATTTCTGATACTGAATATTCAAATACAAAAATAGAACCGAAATGTGTTTTCAGAATTAACCTGAGCATTTCTGAGGTACTTCAAGTGAAAGCAGCAAGTATGTGCTGCCTCCAGACAGTGGTTACATCAGTAGTTGGCAGTTTAGGGTATCGCACGGTGTCTAAAAGATTGTATCGCTCACAGATTGAACAGACTTCGGCTGCGAGACCCTAACTGATGTTTGTCCAGTTTGAAATAGTTATTTTATGTGTTCTTTACTAGGCTACCAGCAGATTTTTTTGATGAAACAGAGCAAGATAGTGCAAACAAACAGCTTTCAAAGGGTCCAGGTCCCAGTCTATTGTCAGTAAATTATGACGACGATGATGATGATGATGAAGAGGAAGAACAAGATCAATCAGACACATCTTCTGTTATGCACAAAGCTGAAATTCCACCTCCAACTCAAGACGTAGTAGCTAATTCTCTACCTGCAGGTAATGTTGACTGAAATAGTAAGTGATTCAGTAGGGAGAAGCTATGTTTTAACTGATAATGGAAGAGTTTTAATTTATTTTCCTAATTATTGCTATTAGCGGGTTAGAGTGTGTAATATTGGAAGTAGAGAAAGGAGATTCTTTGCTAATTTGTTATTATGTGGTGTTTTCTCAGCATCCTTCTTGATTTTATGTTCTAATTGTTTGAGGCTGTTCAAGTAAAATAATGTCTGGCTGTTCTTCCCTTGATTCAGTAAGGTATTAATTGAAATTCCTGTCTAGTCAGAATTTTATGAAGAAACTTAAAACAGTTGTTCTTTTTGTTCATAGGCTTCTGTCCTTTCTTACAGACTTCTTTGACAGCAAAACTACGGCTGCTCCTATAGTTTCCCATTCAGGATCCATACAGAAAGCAGAGATACAAGAGAAGGTAGTGGAAAGGTAAGCAGTCAAATCAAATATTGATAGATTTGGGAATTGTAAATAAACGTCGTTCTTCCAGGAAATACAGGCTGTGATCACTTAGAAATCTGTCATATTGTTAACTTGTTTTCAGAATAGTTTGTATACATGTCAGCCTGTAGCACTTTTTTCAGACAGGTATTTTGCACCCCAGAGGCAGGGTAAGAAGTGGAGCGATGCCATACAGCATCTGTTCGACATCTCTATTTGCAAAATTTTAACGCAGGGTACTTTGGAAGCTTAATGTCAACCACTGCTTGTAACTGTTTAAAGAAAACCATTCACTGCTTCTCTAGTAATGGTTCAGGTCAGTTGAGCACTTTTTTTAGACAGTGGTTTAGGCTTTCAAAAGTAGAGACTTTGCTGTTAAAATGTTTGAGCGCTCAGCGTACTGGGAAGAGTAGTTTAAGAAACCTAAACTATGGCTCTTGTTTTGACGGCGAGATTTAAACCTGTCTGTGCAGTTCCTTGTAAGTTAAGACCAAACTGAAGAAGCAAGTTTTGATGGTTGTAAGTAAAAACTGAGGGTGTAAAAAAAACTTGCTCCATTTCTAGGTCCTTTTATAAAAGATTATGGATTTTATTCTGGACTGTTTTTAACTCTACAATAAAGCAGGTTGTAAAGTCTTAACTTGAGATAATAGTAATCAAACATTTCAGGAAAGAAAACACTGCTGAAGCTTTGCCAGAAGGTTTCTTTGATGATCCTGAAGTGGATGCAAAAGTAAGTGATCTGCTCTTTTTATGCTGCAGGATTTATTTCTGCCAGTTGTAAAGATTTTCTGAGTAGTAAGGATGATTTTCCAGGTGATAAGTCATACCAGAATGTAAGAACATGCACTATTTAGAATTGAACAGAATAGAATAGTTCAGTTAGAAGGGCCCTACAACCATCATCTAGTCCAACTGCCTGGCCAGTTCAGTGCTGACTAAAACTTAAAGCATGCTGTTAAGGGCATTATCTAAATGGCTCTTAAACACTGACAGTATTGGGGCATTGACCACCTCTCTAGGAAGCCTCTTCCAATGTTTGTCCACCCTCTTGGTAAAGAAATGGTTCCCAACATCCAGTTTAAACCTCCCCTGGCGCAGCTTTGAACATTTGTTCTGAATTAATTAGAAAACATGAAAAGGGATGGAGGCAGGCAGGAAGAGCTTGTTAAATCATGTCTCAGAAAGTGTTTTTGATTGTGATTCCTTTGTGGCTTTTAAAGAAAGCTAAAGAAATGTTATTTGTTAGTTAAAATGCTGGACTGAGGTTTGGACAATCCACCTGTTAGCTTTATTTCTTTGAGTCATCTCAGGAAAAGCATTTCACCTAATTTGTACATCCAATTCTGCTTTGGAGTTGACAATATAAAAATAGTTCTCTAATGTCCTTTGAGAGATCGTGTTGAAAAGTGTTCAGAGTTACTGTGTGGCTGATATTATACATCCTTTTAGAATGAAAATAGTTAGATTATGGCACACACTGTAATCTCTAGTACTGGCATACTACAGCAGTGAACTTGGTCTTCAACCCTGTCTTTTACAACTATGGGGTATTTGATGTTCAGAAAAGAAATGTGGGTATTCAGTGTGTTTCTTAAAATAAACCTCACAACTAAAAATCTTAAAATTTTGATCAAAATCATTCCTACTTCCTTCAACTTGCACAGTACCAAATGATGATCAAAATAAACACTGATATTTGAAATACAAACTTTTTTTTTTTGAAAAATTTGTCACAGCTTTGATGGCTTTCCCATTTTCTTTATTGAAATAATAGTGCTGTAGGCTCAAAGTCTTTTTTGTTTTCCTTGAGTATATTTCCCTATTGTTCACACTGTCGAAGGCTGCTGGTGTATTTAAACTGGATTGTGAAGTCAAGCCATGATTTCTGATTTGGAGACCTTCCAAATAATACTTTCTCATGTTCAGTTAGTCCCACTGTCCCTATTATAAGTTTAGGTGTCTCTTATTTGCTCTGCAGGATTCTGTTGGCACCACTCATGCCCACATGTTGGCCTTTCTGAATAGTTTTGAATAATGACATTTTGAATATTGAAATATGTAGCTGAAAAGAAAGCCACGCCGTTTTGTGGGGTTTTTTGCATATAACTAATTGGAGTGTTAAATTTTTCAAATACTTAGTTACACCATGAGTTAGGAAGCAGGTACAAAGTGGGAGCACCTAGCAGGCAGAGGAGAATCTGCTTGTATCTGTGAGGGCACTGCTTAGTGATCTTTGTTCTGGTCATCACCTCAGCTGATAAGATCTGCAAGTGGACGCATGTTCCGATAAGCTCTTCCTTGAATTGCTTGCAGGTGCTCTTCTTTTTAATCAGCCCTCTCTAAGTTTAGCTGATATGCAGGGGCAGGAAAATGTTTGTGACATCGCTTAAATTGAGATGGCTGCAGTGATTCTGTGTTGGAGAATTTTTTTCAGAATTAACAGTAAGCATTTGGAAGGGAGATTGTGGGCTTGAAAAATGTTGGTTCTTTTCATCAGGAATTTATAAAGTCTATAAATTCTAGATTAGATAAATATTTCAAGGAAAAATAATATCTTTAGTGTTTAAATTTATTGTAAGAAATACAAATAATTATGAATTACAAAAGACAACCACAATGCGTAATAACACAGTACATACACATATGATAGAAATAATCACAGAACAGAAAAATGAAATGATCACTATTACTTCCCAGTATGTAGTTTGCTTGGAAGCTTCTAATTTATTCTATAAACTTAATTCATACTACTGGATTTTGTATAATCGTTCAGGAACAAAATATACCAAACTGATGTCTTTACCATGATGATGACTGATGCGTTACCAAAAGAGAGGAATGGATACAGGAAAAATAAAACTAATGCAAAAAGATGATGTCATGAATTATTCTGTTAAAACTGCTTAGTTCTCCTAGCTATACAATTTCCACGCCGTCCAGAGCCAGGCGTAACCCGTCATCTAACGTATGTTATATGCCACATCTTCCAGTCTTGAATTGTAGAAGTTCTGGTTGCACGGGTAGATTATCTTGTTTACTTGCTTGCATTAAAAGCACAATCTGGTTTTGATCACCTTAGTTGTAGATCTTAAATACATTCTTTCTGCTACTACTTTTTCAGTCTTCTTGCCTTAGTAATTAATACCAGCTACCACAGAAGAAAAAGCTTTGCATGTTGTTAAAATTGGTATGTAGCTGTACTATTTCTTCTGTTAGCCAACAAAATTAGACTAGATTTGAGATGCAGTCAGACTATTTTAACACCAGTCAGATTAATGCCCGAATCATTTGATACTTTATGTTATGCCAAAGGCAAATAATTCACTGCTTTTTGGCTTGATATGGCTGCTATATACGATTGAACAAGCAGCTTACAGAAGAATTTAAAAGTTGTTACCTGACACAGTGAAATTGCAGACCATCAAATTAACAGGCTTAGTCACTTTTGTTAATCCAAACATTCCGCACCATCCGTTCTTAGTCAGTTATTCTTTAATGCTACAGTCCAGGATGTTGTTTTAATCCATGAGTAGAGTCAGATTTTTTCCTCCAAAACCATTGTGCAGCTGCACTCTCTTATTCATATACATTACTTAAACTGAAGTATGTCGACCAGACTTTTCTGAGAACACAGCATAATTTATTCTGTTTCTCCAGGTGTTTTACAGTACCCCAAAGTGTTACTAGACATAAATTGTTAACGAGCCTGTTTTTTCATGTTCCTTAGGTGCGAAAAGTTGATGCTCCAAAGGATCAAATGGACAAAGAATGGGATGAATTTCAAAAGGCAATGCGACAGGTCAACACAGTAAGTAATGGATTCTATTTTTATTGATTCTAAATACTATACACAATAAGGAAAACAACAGTTTCATGCAGCTCTGCAGAATGACTGACATCTGCATTTGTCAGCTGTTTGTTGCAATGCAGTGTGTGGTTAAATGCACTTTATAAATGAGCAAAAGGTTCCTTCTGTTTTCCACTTAAGGGAAATTAAATTGAAAAAAAATTTTGATCAGGATCCAGTCATCAATATATATCTAGTTACATTTGTTAAATTGTATTTAAATAAAATAGCATATACCTCTGATCAGCGTCCTGTATCCAAACAACATAATTTTAGGCTCTTCAATAGATGAGATATATTCATGTTTTAACCTTGAAAAAAATGGAACAAAACACCACCCATTTTGTGTGTCTTTCTCAAAAAGGATCTGTAGGTAAGTAACCTGGGTTTTATGGTTAATTTAAATGTACCAGAAAGGAACTCCAAAATTTGGGAAAGTAACAGAAAATTTTGTGTGTGAGAGACTGGCCACAATTTTTCTGTACTTCCGTTTTTTACTGTTTAGCATTGCATGGGAACTCTTTCCGGAACAGGTTTTTATCTGCTCTATTATCCAGTATAAAACTGTCACTAAAGATGCGTGGTGGTCTCACTCTTTCTTTCAAATACTAGAGTATTTGGTAGTTTTTGAGTTTTAATTGTAAATAACCACTCATATGCCAACTGCTAAGGAAAGTGGTGCAAAAAAACTTATCATTGCTCATTTTAAAGTGGTCAGCACTATAAACAGAGCGAATGTTCGTACAAAAGCAGTGGTGGATACATTTTGCTAGCATTAGCCATTCAGATAATTCTTCAGCTTAGAAGGAATCTTCTCAGTTATGCGTGGACCATTGATTGCATAGCATCTCCCAGACATTCAGATTTGAGAAAGTATATGCTGAAAAAAATAACAGGTTAGAAACACTTCGGGATCTAGTGGGAATACTTAACCAATTCTTTCAATAAGCTTGTGTAATTAAGTCCCAGGCATTGGGATATAGCTCCTACTTCAGCCTCAGATTTTGGATGCACGTAGTTTGTTTATGCTTAGTTCCAAATAGTAGCGTATTGAAAAATTCGAAAGGTTAACCGCAAAGCAGTCAAACTACTTTTAACTTTTAGTTTTAAGAAAAAGCATTTCCATTTCCAATTAAACCAGATTATTTTTTTCCTGTATTTGCCTCCCAGAGTCTTTTGTGAAGGTGGGAGTATACGTATAGGAGATTGACATTGACTTGAGGTAGAGGGAAGGAAGGGAGGACACGGACATCAAAAAGGAACAACAGTGGAATTCAGGATGCAGATGAATTATCTTAGTGCTTTTCTGGTTTAGATTTCAGAAGCAATAGTGGCAGAAGAGGATGAGGAGGGACGACTAGATCGTCAGATTGGAGAAATTGACGAGCAGATGTAAGTAGATCAATTTTTCCTCAAACTTTCTGTTCTCCAGCAGTAATGGATCGATATTTGACTAGAGTGATAAAAAGATTTTCAATTTTATTCTTCTCTGATAGTGCCTTTCATTAATCACCTAAATATTTGAAGAAGACAGACTCCCTCAAATTGCAGAATGATACCTAATAAAAACATGAATTTTGGTGCAAAGTTATGTGATTATTTGCAAAGAGAGAATGTGCTAGAATCACTGAAAATACAGCAAGCAGGCACACGTAAAATGAAGCAATAGAAAGCAAATTCTGTGAACAAACTGTCTCTCTTCCCCTCTGTCAAATTTCTCTGAATTCTGATTGATGTAGAATTGATGTGAACATTTTTAAAAAACAAGGTCTGATATTCTGCAATGCAATTACAACGTCAATAACGAGATCTGTGTTTTGACCATCCATTTGCTGTACTGAAAATGCCCTGTTCTGTGACTAACTCTCCTTCTTTCTAATAAAAGTTTACTTAAAGATTTTATTGAATGATGCACTTCATTACATGAAGTGAGTTTTTTGGTTTTGTTGAAATGGTAGGTGTATCAGCTAAATAACCATTAGTTTAAACTCTAAGTAACCTGAAACACAGCTTAGGGGAACAGATTGATACCACGATCATGTAGCTTAACCCATTGATTAACAGTGATTATGGCAATGCTAGTGACTGAAAAGAAAAAGATGGATTCCGATTTTAATGAACCTTGCAACAAAAAAAAAAGACACTGAAAATTAAAGCAACACTTAAGCCGTCTGGCCAGATTTACATGCTATAGATAATCAGCGTATAGTAACAATAGCGTTGGGTTGAAACTGAGCTTTGGTAGTACAGGGATGTCTTGTAACAATGTTCATGTCATTTTGGAGAGGGTTTGAGCTAAACCTGACTGTCTTTGGGCATTCAGTTTTACCAGTAGCTTAGGATGCTGTAGTACGTAGAACCAAATTTAGAAATTTGTAGAGAATTTCAAGTTTGTTACCGTAATTATTTTTCCCAAAATAAAAGTTCAAATAGATTTTTCAAGACTGTTTTTATAGCTTTGTCTTCTGAGCGTGTTTAAATGCGGGCTATTTCGAATTAAATTCAAGATCAAATTAATTCCAGTGACATTCGTGTTTGCCTTAGCCTTCAAATCCTCAGCTGTGACTGCCTGTAAGTATTCGTATGGCAGATACGCAAGGGGAAACAGGGTCCAGATAATAGTCTTTCCATGTTGACTCTTTCTAGCAAATAGGAATGAAAGAAGCAAAGATGGATTTAAATCAGGCTGATACTACTTGGCATTTTCAACAAAATACCCTGTTAAAATGACTAGAATAATAGTTATAAAACATATTTTTAGGACATAGCTTTTGAAGTAAATGGAAAGCTGAAATTCGTGGATTGCATTTACTTAAAATGTTCTGTTACAGCACACAATAAGCAGAAGGAAGGATGTGAACACTTGTGCTGCTCTTTTATGTTCAGAGATGCCACCTCCAAGTTATCAAAATTGATAGCCCATTCATATCTCACCTTTCTACTGTATATGAAAACCATAAGCGGAGCAAAGAATGGCATCTCTTCTTGTGTGGAAGTGATATTGGTTCTGTGCTTTGTAAAAAATGATTTGTGGTGGTAGCGGAGTTGCTAAATATTTGGATTAGATCTGCTAGAGAATTGACCGTGCCTCTCCTCTGGTCGGTTTCCACATTTTAATACAGAGAAGGTGCACTAGCGTTATTGAAAGCTTATTTTTTCAATTGATGGAAAGCTGTGGAGCTTTTTTTTTATCCAAAGTTGGAGAAGAAAAATCCAGCACTGTGGAAAATCCAATTAATGTGGAAAGGCCACAAGTATTAACAGGTGGTTTACTTTTCAACAGTGAATGTTACCGCCGTGTTGAGCTTTTGCGTAACCGCCAGGATGTGATGAAGGAGAAGTTAAAGGAAGCCATGAGATTAAGAGCAACTCAAGAGAAAGAGGATGAGGCTGTCGGTAGCGAAGATGAAGAAGAGCTGCAGGATTTGCTGTCTCAAGACTGGCGGGTGAAAGGGGCTTTGTTGTAGCATTTCTGCAACGTGGTTGACATTCTCTTTATCTGTGATGTTACTTCCGTTGTTAGGAGTGAGATGCTTTTGTTAAATATTTATTTAAAAAGGATGGTGAGATGGCAAAGAGCCAAGCATATTAAAAAAACCCACATCTTCATAGATTTATGATAGCGTATTACTCGCTGTAAAAACTGTATATTGCAAATGTTTTACAATATTGTATGTACCTTTCCTATTAAAATTATTGGTTTCCTACCAGAGATATTTTAACAGGATTAATAAGTAACTGAAGAATCTCTAGGGTTTTGGAAGCATTAGATATATCTGGTAATTTTGAGACTTGGATTATTGTGTATAAAAGTAAAGGACTAGCAAAAGTGATAGCCTATGGAGTTTTCCCAGATTGGGAGGTTAGGGAAAGGAAAATATTGTGCATTTATGTTATCTTAAAATTTATAAGTGCTCTTCTGTCCATTGCCCCAGCTCCCAATAAAATACGTACATTTTTTTTCAGGATCTGTTACAGTTTCTCTGTGTGTGTAAGAGCCAAGCTCAGAAACGCTGAGTTACAGCTTCTCCACAGTGCGTGCTCTGTGATGTGCTATAGGCAATGCTGAATATTTTTCTTTATAGTATCTTGTTTTGCTTAGTGCAACCACAGGGTAGCATACCTCACATTTCTTGAACCAGAGGGATGAAAGCACAATGGTTATATGTTTGCATAACTTAAACGAAAGGGTGACAAAATGCCAGAGAAAGGTACTGCACGAGAAACCAGTGAGGTAAAATCATTTATCTAGCTGCAAGTACTGGAAGTTTTCTTAAGATACTGTCTTAGGCACGGAGACCATCTAAAATTGATTTCTGTTCTGATAAACACAGATGAAGTAAAATCAAGAACAAACTTGACAAGACTGGGACATGGAAAGCAGAACTACCTTGAGCTTTGGTAAGTATCTCTGGGGTTTTTTTGTGAAGCATATTTTTTTTTACTTTTGCATCTCTTAAAACATTTCAAATTTGCTGAGGACTTCTGAAAAAATAGGAGAAATGTGTGGTTTAATTTCTATCAAAAAGTAAAGTTGTGAAGGATCAGCTTAACATTTTCCTGTTTTTTAAAGATTCTAGTTTTAAAACAAGTTAGTGAGGTTTTAAAGGGAGAAAACAAGCTTTGTTCTTATGAGAGCATTCTGGATACTTACCTCAAAGATGGTTATTAACCAAGCAAGAAAGAGAAAAACTAAACCTAGAAGTTTGTTTTGCCTGTGTGGGAAGAAAGACTTGACATGGTGGGAGCCTTTTCCATATTGTGAGATGCTTTTTTTACCACTCCCGGTTTCCATGATTCTTGAGTTCAGCTCTTTCTATTTATAAAGCTGTCAAAATTCAAGCAATGGTCTTTAGCTGTTTGGTGCAACCATTTATTTCTGCTGACATGCTGGCTCACAGCCATTGTGTTTTGGTTGATTTAATAACAGTAAGTTTGACACAACGCTGCAGTCTTACATGAATTAGTACTGTTGTTGAGATAGCAACACTCAGAGTATTGAAATACCGACTACAGGAACTTCAGAGACTACTGAAACAAATAATGAATGTTTTGGCAAGTTGGACCAAAATGGAAATAAAATTTCCTTCTATAGCGTGAAACATTTGAATATCAGAGTATAAGGTGCCTGTCCTGCTGTAGTGAAAGATCTCTGGATCTGTTTATCACTATAAAGAGAACTTTCAACTGGGAGGGTGGTACAGTCTTACCAGATGGACAGGTTTTTTCAAAACAAAAGACATTCCCCTTTTCACTCTCAGAAGAGCTAAGTTCCTAATTGTTCTACTTATCTTTGCCTTTCACTCGCTGATGGAAGCGTGCTGGCTTCTTAACACTGAGCTTTAGAACCACTCTCTGCATTTTGCTTAACATCAAGAGACACAGATGTGACTAAAGTCAGGTTATACTCAGCGTCACGGACATATAGTACATGTTTTTACAGTGTAAAAGTGTTAATCTCTGAGTTTATAACTTACACTTCCATTTTGTACGTATATCTGTAATTACTTTCATTCTGTACATGAATCTGCAAGTCACGGTTTCAAGTGCAGATAAATAGGAAAGGAGCTGAGCATTAAAACAGTTCAGATGTTTTATTCCGTTGCCCTCCTCTTTAGAGATACCGAGTGGTAAGAAGCTGAAGGCAGTGAGGTTAGTTACAGTGGAGGGAGCTTGTACATTCAAATCCAAACCAGTGCAGCCCATTGTTTTAAGTATTATTGGCAATAGATGGCAGGAATAAATACTAGATCACTCATCACTCTGTTCATTATCCTTGCGTAACTTCTGTTGAAACAGTAAAGACAATGGCCCAGCCAGTGGCTTATGTATTGCTGAGGAAGTAACTGGCAGCATTGGTCCCTCTTGGTTGTTGCTTGTTTGAGTTGAATTTTTTTTTTTTCCTTGGAGGAATCTCATAGATCCACAAAGAGTTGTACACAAGTTTTATACAGCTTGTTGCGTACAGCTGTACATTTCTGCACCATTTGAAACAAAACTTTTAGAGAGCTTTGTGAAGAAGGTAGGAGTGACTTTGCTATCTCTATGCTACGTGACCGTGGATGCCCATGTGCTGTTGTGCCAAGAAGGCAGGAAATCATCCTCTTTTTAGCAATGAAAGTAGCATGGCTGTAAGGGAGAAGACAGAATTATCCCAACCTTACTGAATAGTCAAGCTAATGTATCAAGGTAAATGATCTCTTGTGTCTTAGAAAAAATATAGGCGTAGTTAATTTATGTTTTAAACCTGTCCTCAGTTTTAGAAAACAATTTTATGAGCATCTGATGAACTATTCAGCTAGATAATTAACAAGAGCAAATAATTGGTTTTGAAAATATGTACTTCGTTAATTTCTTTCTAACTTTCTTGAATTCTATTTTTAAACAATAAAGATGAAAGTCCTAATAACTAGCTCTGTCCATAGCCACTATTAAAAATAAAGTTTTGATCTCTGGCACAGTGGAATTCAGAAGAATATTTTTAATTCTCTGATCTCCAGGACTTCCAGAAAACTGAAGAATCAGAATTAAGGGGGAAGACTTAGCATTTGTAATCCTTATTTATCCATATACCAATGGAGAGTGCTGCCCAAATTTAAGAATTGTGGAATTTCATGCCACCGAAAATAGTTGCGATTCCCAGCTTAGTGGTTTTGAAACTGCTAAGTGACTTCCCGTGTTTGAAATGGAGGTCCGAGGAGCTGCTCTGCAGGGAGCAGATAGCCACAGCTGCTACTCAGCTGTTGGTAGTTTGCTGTTCTCTGGCAAGTGCCAAGAATCACCAATGGCAATCTGTGTGCTAATTTCTCTCTCGCCATGGAATAAATACGCTGCTGCTGTCATGACTGAGGAGTAGGCGTGGAAAAAGGGCTGCGTTTGGTACAGAGGAGCCCAAAAGCGATTGCGCAGAATCAACCAAACCACAATAGCAACAACAAACAAAACAATGTTCTCATTTACTGACATGATCGATTGTTGTTCCTCCAGTAAAGCGTATAATTTTAAAATTTGCTTCAGAATCGTGAATACTATTTAAAAGGAACATTAACATTAGCTTTGGTCAGGCCCCCTGCCAATAAATTCAATTTGAGGAGAGACAAATTTTGCTTATTACATGCCATTGTAATTAAATTCTCTGCACTTTAACATCTTAAAAACACTGAGCTAGAAATAGCTCTAATGAGAAAAGTCATATTACTCAAATGTTTTCAGCACTTAAAAATACTTTTTCTTATAATCAAGAAAGCTTGCACTAGGAAATCAGACATTCAACCAATAGGAATCATGCTGTAGCTGTCATTAGCAACCATAATGTGAGTACATAATGTTTCAGAAATTCCTTTTGTTAGGTAACATCAGATGAATTTGACACTTCTCTTTCGTTTCAGTTACTGTCTCAAGACATGCTAGTCTGTAGAGCGACAAGACGCATGCAGTGATGCAGGAACTGATTTAATCAACATAACTGCGTTCCTTCCTGGAACCAAGGTGCAAGTACACTTCCATGGCAAGAAAGGCAGTATGTACTTGTATCCCTAGAAAGTGTCACTCAGGCCAAGAGATTGAATTTTTCTGGTGTCAAGCAGTTTTTTTCAGTATCTGCCTTCATTTAATCTTCTGTTCATCACCTCACTTAGAACTATCCTGGCCTGTTAGCTGGGAAAAGAAATGCCAGCAATTCCCATGTGTAGACATCTAAGGCAGGTCTTTCTTCCAAAAATACAGTTGAGGGACTAATGCATTGCATAATTGGTGGTTACAGCACTTACAGAGGGTGTAAGAGATCTGAGTTCAAATCCTTCCTCTCTATGCTGTCCTTTGAACCTACAGTTTCTAGTTGAAACAATCCTGGCCTAACAATTGCAGTCTTTCCTGTAGAAGCTGCGCCACTGGAAAATGATTGAATTGGTGAGCGTGTCTGGCTTGTCTGATAGTCATGACACTCGCCTGAGAAGGGGCAGGTCCTGTTCCAAGTACGTAAATAGTGCTGAGATACATTCAGCTGAGATTGAGGCTATGGAAGAAGCCGGGTTTGGACCTCGCCCATCCCAGAGAAGCACTCTTATTTTCATGCTGTCGGGTATTTAGAAATGAAAAAACAGGGACGCTTCTGTTTCTGCCTAGTTTGGGTGGGGAAGGTTCAGCCCATGCTTTAAGACTGTCTTGTGAAACCTCACAGAAACACCTCGCCCATGCAGGCTGGTGAGGAATGAGGTGCCTTACTAGGCACCTGCATTCATGGTCCCAGTGAGGTTTATGCTGTTAGCTTCCCAGGAGCCTTGACTGGCACAAATTAGGCACCTTGGGCCCATAGATGCCTTCTGGCTATGTCTGAGGACAGAAAGGAGTCTGGGTATTAGCAATGGGCTAGATGATGTGGCTGAATACCTCTAACTTTGTTTTCTTTCTGGTTGACTATTCCAGCCAG